TATATATATATATATATATATATATATATATATATAGCTCAAACAGAAGTTACTGTCAAACATATCGTAAAAATCCTATCAAACGTAAAATAAAATCTAAAATTTGCACGATTGTGTGGAAGTAGCTTGGAAATGGGTTCTCAATGGAAGACACATCATATGGACCATAAAGCATTTTTAATAAAATCAAGAAAAGAGTGCTATCAAACCTCGCCACTTATGCATTTGCATGCACTCACATCTATGCATTTCAATAACATTCTTAAAAATCTTTTGATAATGTCACAAGATGCTTCATTTCTTCATTCCAAAGGCCTACTATATGCGAAGCCAAAATCAAGCAATACCGACGTGAGAGAAATGTTGAGACACATCCAACTTTCTCTTTTCTTCTTCCCACTTACAGTTGCTATTCATACCCACAAAGAGGTGGCTAAGTGAGAGAAATGTCACCCAAGAGAAACCACACAGGTTGCAAGATAGAAAGAGGCCAAGAATGAGCAAAAACCGAATCATAGAGAGAGGCAAAGAAGACGATACATTGGAGGCACAAAGGGACAGAAAATTATAGCCCAAGAGAGTGACCAAATAAGGTAAGTTAGGGTAGGTTAAACTTAGTGGCCCAAAAGGCCCAACACAAAGATAATGGACTCCAAATGGATATCGTAGCCATCCAAGTAAATAGGACAGGCCACGAGCAACACTATTAAAATAGAATGCTTCTAATGGTCCATAAAAAATTGGGTTGGGTCATCTCAATGGTGGCGCGACATATAGTTCAGTCATATGGTCAATGCCGACTGAAATTAAATAAAACCGAGGTTATATCATTGCTCGGGAGGTCGTTTGACAACAAATTGACTAACACTATGAAACCTCCTTCCCAAGAACCCTAACCACCTTATATCTTTGGAAGAAATGAAGCATCTTGTGGCATTATCAGAAATAAAACCAGAAATAATTGCTACAGATCCTCAAAAAGAGCGTGAAAGAAAATTGGAGTGGGAAAATAGAACTACAAACGATCACAGTAATGTGGAAGTAAAGGCTGATCATGAATTGATGAAAAATCAGGTTTTGGAGGATCAAAGGAGACGTTACCGAGGCGTGAGGTAGCATCCTTGGGAAAATTTGCAGCAGAGATTCGTGATCCTAACCTGAAAGAGGCTCTTGCATGGCTTGAGACATTTGACACGGCAGTGGAGGCAGCGAAAGCTTACAAGAGGGTGGCATTTAAACTTAGAGGAAGCAAAGCGATACTGAATTTCCCGCTTGACGCTGGCCTTTCCAACCCCTCTTCCGGAATATGAACATCCTCAAGAAGGCTGGAGAGAATTGTTGAAGATTAAAATTATATAAATAAATATGTACCCTCCATGCCTCTTAACTATTAATTAAGGGAAGTGCTATGTGTACACCTACACACCATAAGGGGTACACATATAATTATCCATTAATTAAACTTCAAAATCTTGTCCATTTAGGGTATGCATAGGTCGTGTTTTAGTTATGTTTGATAGTATTTTTGAGGGAGAGGAGAGATTAGTGATTTCTTTTGTTTTTACTCCCTTAATTCAGTGTTGTGTGAGATTTGATTGAGATTTATCGATTTTGTGTATTAGACTACTATTATTTTATTTTTATCGGAGGCAATGACAATTTCTTTTAAAAATTTAATTTTCGTACTTCCATTTAAATTAAAACTTATTTTAAGATAATTAAATATTTAATTTACAATCTATAAAAAGGAGGATACGAGGAGAAACTTTTGAATACAAATTTACCCTTATATATATTTAGCTATATGCCCAATGTACCCTTTCTCATAATTTACATTAACAATAGTAATTCGAGTAATAAGTTGTTGTTTTAAGAAGAAATTTTCAAATATCAATTTTACTCTTATATATTCAGCTATATGCGCAACACACCCTTACCTCTTATTCGATTCTCATAATTTACATTAATAACACTAATTCATGTAATGAGTTAATATTTTAATTACCTTATAGTATTCATCCTTAAAATGTTAATATACTATTATTAGCTAACATTTGAAACTTATTGATTTGAATACTGTTATTAATTTTTGAAACTTTTTTTATTACATGTGTTAAATGAATGGTTAAGGTTTTAAATCATAATTACAATATTTAAATCTTTTATTAATCAAATACATAATTAGAGAAAATTTCATTTTTCATAATATAAATATTTTTAATAATTCGTGCATTAGGTTATATTTTAAGTTGTATTATAATAGCCACCATTAGATCATAATATACGATTATTACTTATCATTTGGAACTTATTGATTTGATTACTTTTTTAAATTTCAATTTTTTTTCCTATAAACGTGGAAAATAGTATAACACATTTACAAGTTTTGAACTAGAATATATAGCCATCAAGATCATATTTGTGAAACTATTTATTTTTTACCATTTTCTTTACAAGTTAGATTGGATTTTATGGAATGAATAATAAAAGTTGTACCTCCATATATTTATAAAGATTGAAAATTTGGAATGTGAATTTTAATTTTTTTGAAATGATACTTTTTTATGAGAATTTTAAACCAAGCAAGTAAATAAGTGAGAAAAATTATGTGAAAGCTCTGTACTCTCAATTCTTGAGTATAAACATGAAATATTTTTTTATAAAGGCACAAGGCCTATCAATGATTTTTTTTTTTTTTAATTTTTGGTAACGAAGTTGCCATTGGTGCGCAAAAAACTATTATATGGGATTATTAGCTTTGGATTTATATTCTACGAAATCTGCGGAGCCTTGCTATTCTAGCTGAAATACACTTGCATCTTGGTTATCCACTTCAGGACGAATTTTTCATTTTCAAATTACTTTATTTTAGCTATAGAATAATTCTAATAACTTAGATTTGTGCATATTACACATGGGATTAATAATATTCATTTTTTTTTTACTCAACAACATGAATTTTACATATTTTGATTTGTTTTTTTTTTTTTCTATGATATTGAGTAAATAATGCACAATTTCTCAAATGTTATGTGTGGGACATAAAATGTCGAAAGTGGACAACGAAAAAAAAAGGAATGAAATCTCCCGCATTGGGGTGACAAGTCCTGGTGAATGAAAAAGATATTACTTTCAATTATTATCGAACTATGTAAAATGACTTACCTCTTTTGAGTTCTTACTAATAGTTGATAAAATACATATATTCACCATTTAAGGATGTAGCACTTATAAGATAATTGCACCTATGACAACAACTTCACATGTAATAGCATCAATAATACTAGGAGGCATAACCGTCCATTCAATATTCAATATTCCACTCCAAACTAATGAATAAAAAATGTGTAATATATGAAAGCAGAGTGCTACAACATAATTGATCGACATGCAAGACTTATAATATGAGATGAAGCATTGATGGCAAAAAATAAAAATACAATAGAAATTGTTGACAGAACATTATGAGATATCTAGGACAATTTAGAACCAGTTCGTGGAAATATTTATGTAATCAGAAGAAATTTTGGCCAACTACTACCTATCATCTCAAAAGCAACAAGAAAATAAACAATAAGCCAAAGTTTGGCTAGATCGCATCTTCAGGAAAAAAATAAAAATCTGCTACTAAATTAAAACATGTGTGCTCAAAATAACAATTGATTTACAAAATACATGATCCAAATTGAAATAGGGATGACTCCATCAATTTACCAAATGAGATAGTTATAGTAAGTGATGATGCTAAACTTTTGGAGTTACTACTGTTCTTTCGATTATATGACATAACATAGAATTCTTTCTACCAAAATTTAGTTTCTTGACCACCTCAATGACAAACTGATTGGGTATTTCATGGAGAAAGTGAAGAATTTGTAAGCTTTGAAGAAGCAACCGATGATACAAATTAATTTTACCGAGAAGAGTTTCGAAACATTTTGTTGCCAAATGGTATCCCATCGCATGAGTTAATATGAAACATAAATTGTCCACCAAGGAGTCTAGACCCATCAAACGATCTTTGCAATGGAACAAGAATGATTTACCAAGATTTCAATCGACATGTTTCATATAGAAATAACAGTTTGACAACATCTAGTTTGGTTCAAGCAAATGATGAAAGATATCCATTCAAATTGAAGAGGAAAAATTTTCAATACATCTATACTTTACAATGACCATTAACAAAGCTCAAGGATAAACAATGCTTACTATTGGAATATACCTTCTTAAACATTTATTTTCTCACAGACAATTATATGTTACACTTTCTCGTAGAGTTTCAACACAAATAACTAAAAATTTAGTAAAAGGAAAAAAGAAAAATTGTAGGATGTTGACAAAAAATATTTTGAATAAAAAAGTATTATTATAATAAAAATGTTACATTTTAGTTTATTCGACCTTTCACATATATACATAATTTCATAAAATGTTTTATTCATTTTTATTCTTTTTAATAATTTTAATTTTTCCTTTAACAATATCATTAACTCAACCACTCTCAAAAACGTATTAGTAGTTTAAAAATATTCCCCATATAATTCATCGGATACATAAAATGTGCAATGCACGTGCTTACTACTAGTTTATATTTACATTTGGCAACAAAGCTTAAATCCTAATAAACACCATGTCTTCTCTCAAAATGATGTGCACTTTTTAAATTTCCAATGTCATTAATAGCCATCATTTTTATTTCTTAATTTCCCTATAAAAGCTTTATTTCTCTCACCACTACCGTCACTTTCTATTCTCTCATTAAAAATGGCTGCAAATCCTCTTCTCATTCCGCTCTTGCACAAATTTTTAACTCCATTATGTATTAAATCCTGTGCTTCATTGAATAATGGTTTTTCCAATCATATTTTTCATTTTCATGGATCAAAATTTTGTCTCTTTAAATTCTCACCAACTTTCTTCAATTGTTTGTTGTTGATGGGCATGCTTTCAGCGACTCCCCCGCTGAAGAATAGTTGGGTTTTCTCTAAAATAGTGAGGATTCAATCTATCTTCGACACCAATAACACTTTATCTAATTACTCCAATCCTCTACCCACCTTCCTCATTCTCCTTATCGGCTCAATTGAAGTGTTTATTGGTTATGATGTTCAATAGCTCATCCTTAGCCTTTGCATCCAACCCCTTCCTTATTAGGCTGTATGCAATTTATCGAATTGTAAGTTCTATTTTCTATTGTGAAATGTGAACTATAATTATAGTTGTATCTGAATTTGGGTAGATACATTGTTTTCCTCTGTGAAATCGCACCTTTGTCCACCTTTTTGGAAGAAAATGATGATATAAAATTCTCCGCCCCCCCCCCCCCCCCCCCCCCCAAAAAAAAATGGTTGGGTTTCTCCAAAATAGTGGGTTCAAGATATCTTCGACACCAATTACACTTTATCTAATTACTCTAACCGTCTCCCCACCTCTGTCATTCTCCTCATTGGGCCAATTGAAGTGTTTATTGGTTACGACGTTCAATAGCTCATCGTTAGCCTTCGCATCCAACCCCTTCCTTATTGGGCTGTAAGTAAGTTATCTAATTGTAGGTTCAATTTTCTACTGTGAAGTGTGAACTATAATAATAATTGTACCTGAATTTGGGTAGGTACATTGTTTTCCTCTATGAAATCCCTCATTTGTCCACCTTTTGGGAACAAAATGATGATATTAAATACATCGGTGTAATTAACATTCTTGTTGTTGTCATCACACACTATCTATTGGCATTTAACGTTACAGGAGGTCATGGTCATTTATTTTCCAATTTTATGCTACTGTGCTTTTGATTCTTTCAACTGTCCCTATATCAATTCCAATTTACCTTGAATTAAAGGATTTCATTCGACCTTTTTTAATTCTAAAACCATGGATATTGAACGTACCCATTGTGGAGGGAGAGAACATTGTGGAAGTTGTTGACCTCACTTTTTGTAGAGGTGACGTGGCTAACAAATCGTAGCTTATTCTGCTTCCACGTAAGCTTTGGTTCTACATACTTGGATAACTGATAGAGCATATAGCTAGACTTCGATGGTAGGAGAGGTGACCACAGGCACTCCAACTTAGGTCAGTACTAGTGAAATATATGTTTAGATGTGGGACGATCTTAATAATCAAATATATCAAAGAAAAAGAGATTTAGAATTGGAAAGATATAGAGGACAAATATAAATAGAATAGGGTTACATAGTTTATAATGTAAATTTGTATTACCTTTGAACAGGAGTACTTGTGAGCTTTTATAATAGAAGATGATAAAGGTGAGCTGTTGGATGAAGATACACATGGCTTCATCCACACG